CATACGGTGCCGCTTACCAACCCGAAGCGCAAGAAGTCGTCGAAGCACCACATGCGGAGGCTAACAAAGGTGTTCGCATTAACTTGCTTTCCGTCGATTGCTTTGTCCGGGCCGAAGAAGACGACGGATTTTCAGCATGGCAGTTCGATGAAGAGCGAGCAGTAACAGATTTGCAAAACGATTCTTCATGGGACACACGACTGAGCGCTGTCGTTCGCCACATCATTGACCGACCACGACTAACAGGAGATGCTAGTCACATTGTCGGCTACAGAGGTCGGGGACTCCGCACAGGATTGCACGAACCACACCTCATTTGCGAAACCGTCCCACAGGCAACAGCATCTGAGAAAGCGGCAGAATTTTCGTTGAATATTTCGTTGGCAACTCCGACAAGAGCGGCACATAGAGAAGCCTCCAATTTAAAGAAACGCAAAGCCCGCATGGCCGAACCCCGCAACGACCTTTCTATGTGGTTAGGCCGCGGGCAGTTTATCGCACGACTGCGTCCTGCACCCCGGAAATGGGAATCTAGATACATCAGACAAATTTTTGTCATCGCGAGAGGTTGTGCGCGGTCAGCATATATTCAACGACTCGACGGTCGACCGTGCCGGGGCTTGAACCCCATTACAGCGTCACAATTGATTCCGTTGCGACTTGCACTATCATGCGTCCGAGCGTACTTGCGCGGTTCGGGGTGTTCACAAGAAGAAATACAAAAACGACTCCACGAACTCCAAAATCTTGGAGCAATATACGAATCGGAACTCGAGCTGATTGGCGAGCAGGTTGCGTTATCGGACCATGTACGATTCGCAGAGATCGAATACAAACGTCACAACAATTTGCCGATCGCCGTCTGGAACATCGACGGGCTCAACAGAACACTCGAATCGTTCCCACGATGGAGACGATTGTATTTGCTGTTGCGCACGGCAGATATAATATTTTTACTCGAAACAAAAATCGCGACAAGAGACGAAGTCCGGTGGACCAACACATTACGAGAGATCGTAAATGACGCTGCACCATATGACTGGCAGATCAAGTTTGCCAGCGCATTATTACGACCGGGGAACTTCGGGGTCGCAGCTCTTGCACGAGCTTCAGCAAAAGGAACGATAAAGACCGAGTTGCTGCAACCGACCGGAACCCATGATTTTTGCGCGTCAATGGAAGGGCGGATTATTAGCGTACAAACACCCCACGTTCTTGCAGTTGGTGTGTACTCCGTGAACAGCCGCCCTGGACTCAGTCGTCTGGTGACCCGGAAAATCTTCGACAGGAACCTCGCGCAGTTGCTAAACGGATTACGCGATGATATCGGTCGAGAAACCCCGATTGTCGTGGCTGGCGACTTCAATGCACTACATAGTTTGAATCGAGAAGGAATCTCGGAAAATGCTCCCCGGGTAGATGAAGAAGGAGCTCTTATCCCGTCGCTCACGCAAGAAGAATATTTGTTGTTCAACGAAATGCTCGAAGAAACCAAATTCGAACGAATACCAATAACCGTTTCAGATAAAGCAAACACGTACACGTTTACGCCACCGCGAACGAACCCATCGATTGGATTTACATTGGGCCACGTGTTAGCTTTCGGAAACGTGAAGCCAGGAAAACCACTCACGCAGATATATCGCTTCATGCAGGACTCCCAATGGGAAACAAGCGAAAAACCCAAATTTCCTGTTGGATTACTAGCGCCTCTCCATGGCGACCACGGTAGTCTAGTTGCCTCCATCGCAACAGATTAACCGCACCACCTTAGACTATGCCGAAGAGGCGTTGGTCGATTATATGTGAACTGGTAGACGACATACTCTAAGGTGGTGATTGGAAGGTGGTAGTCAAATCTAGACAGGATCCAGACATCGGTCGAAAAGAAGAAAGAGCAAATCAAAACACGAATCGAAGATCCGAACCAAATGCATGCGAAGAAAGTCGACTTCAAACGTGGAAACTTCAATGCGTGCAATGATCGAAATCGTGATCGAAGTCGACCTTGAGTCTGAAACTTGCTGTTTGATGACTAAGTAGTAAGTTGAAGTTGTTGAGCGAAAGGTTGTGTATGAAGTTGTTGAGCATTTCACTTGGAGAAACATAGATCGAAAGTAAAAGAGCCTCAACAAAGCCTCACACAACCCAGCCAAACTTAGGATTGTAAATCACTTGGTAAGCCTGTTGGCCTGAGTGTATATCATATAAACTGTTGATTAATCTCCGATATTGAAACATAACATCCTTTGCAAGCATAGTTGTATCAAAATTATAACCACATATAGTTGAACACCGTCCAACCATAAAATAAGAACTAAACAAGAAATTGAGAACGTAACTAGTCCGTAACGATCATTTGAACAAATCTTGTTTGTACTATTGTTGCTGACGCCTCCGCGCAGCTGTAAGTGTAACTGTTGACGCCTCCGCGCAACCAGGAGTTGGTCACTGACGCCTTCGCGCAGTGTTGTTAGCAGTAGTTCAAACCACGAAGAACATCTACATATTTGACCCCAGACCTTCGTCGGGACTTAAACACAGCTACACCCCAAAGCGACGTTTTGGAAAGACATAAACGAACCACAAAGACTTTGAGTTGTTTAGGTTAGGCCTCCGCCAACCCCTTGTCCACACCGTGCGCTATAAGTAGGTTAGACCTTCGTCAACCGAACAAACCAAAGTTGTAGTTGTTGAGTCCGAAGAAGTGGCTACCAACGATAGTGCAGGTCCTAGAGACTCGGTGTTCTGTGTCTAGCTTTCCGCCTTCCAAGATCCCGAGCAGAGTATCGCTCAGCCACTTTTACTTAACCAGAGGATGCGCCACAACATTCACTGATTGTTTATTCCTATCTTCTATGATTAATATTTCACTAATAAATCGACATGTTAGGTGGTCGGCTCTACCAATATTAATATGTAACTAATGGACTAACGGTAGCGGTTTGAAATTAATCGTTCCAAACTTGTTGTTTGCCACTGACTAGGATCTGACGATGTATGGGACTCTTGTCGTCAAAATAGAATCAACCACTGTACAGCCCCGCGAACACAAGGAGCGGATGAAGCTTCTAGCACTAGCACGGCATCCGCAACAGGGGCTTCAGCAGCTTCTGGTTCAGCTGCGACTTCTGGCCCAGCAGGCGCATCCCCTTCTGAACAACCAGCGGTAGCCAACCCGATTACGGAAGCAGCACCAGAGCCAGTGGCAGTGAGTAAAAAATTTTATATCTTCTGCGTCAGATATTTACTTAGTTTTCCTTGAATGCGACCTGGTCGATTTACATGTCGAAGAAAATCTGTTATCACATCTTCCGCGATATTTATTGTTCTGCGAAACGCGTCCTAAAAAAATTATCACTCAGAACTGTTGTCCTGCAGCCATGCCCGTGACATGGGGATCGAGTGCATGAACGCCGGAGAAATAATTAATACCAGCTTACGGTATGATCCATCGGCCGTAATGGGGGGATTTCAAATGTGCTGTCGGAGACCAAGCCGAGCGGTAGCCTACCCGATTACGGAAGCAGCACCACAGCCAGTGAGTAAAAAATTTTATATCTGCGTCAGATATTTACTTAGTTTTCCTTGAGTGCGACCTGGTCGATTTACATGTCGAAGAAAATCTGTTATCACATCTTCCGCGATATTTATTGTTCTGCGAAAGCGAAACGCGTCCTAAAAATATTACCACTGACTCAGAACGAGAACTGTTGTCCTGCAGCCATGCCCGTGACATGGGGATCGAGTGCATGAACGACGGAGAAATAATTAATACCAGCTTACGGTATGATCCATCGGCCCCAATGGGGGGATTTCAAATGTGCTGTCGGAGACCAAGCCGAGCGGTAGCCAACCCGATTACGGAAGCAGCACCAGAGCCAGTGGGTAAAAAATTTTATATCTGCGTCAGATATTTACTTAGTTTTCCTTGAATGCGACCTGTTCGATTTACATGTCGAAGAAAATCTGTTATCACATCTTTCGCGATATTTATTGTTCTGCGAAACGCGTCCTAAAGAAATTATTATAATTATCACTCAGAACTACAACTTGTGCCCTGCAGCTATGCACTTATGATGGGGCTGGAGTGCTTGCGAGAGGGACAAAAAATTGATACCGACTTATGGTATGATCGATCGAAGGGGGCGGGATATACTGCGTGCTGTAAGTGAGGCGCACTGAAAGGGTATATTACTTGCATACCCCTTTGAATATAGTAGCTATGTATATGGTGCGGAATTTATCACTAGTACAATTTGAATTCGATTGCTACGTGTACATGTTCATCTAGCAGAGAATTCCATCGATTATCTTGATTTACGTCCTTTGAGGCGATCAACTTTGATGATTACAGTCAGACCCTCCCTTTGTTTCCTTCTAGGCGAGCTACACGACGAGGACGACTTAACTTTTTTATAATTTTGCCAGGTCGTATATACGACTGCGCAGCGGAACGCGGTATGGGGATGCGGTACGGGGTAAATTTATGCCGTAGGTGGTAGAAGTCACAACGATATCCGAGATATTGGTATTACATCTTCCAAAATTACTGTGCAAGAGGACACTATCCGAAAATTCAATCCAGATCAGAAATGAAGAATTAGAACGAGTAAAGCGTTACAATGCTGCACAAGACGAGCACTGGTCTTCGGAGAAATTAGAGTAGATTCTTCACTAACAAAAACGTAAAGCGAAAAATATTGCCTCAAGTGAATTATCACTGTACTTGTACAGAAACGCATTGTCGCCGTCTTCGTAAGAATCATAAAACGCAGGAGATTTTCCTTTACGCATCAAAAATTTTAGAGGATGTCAACATAAGTACTCATACTCGCCTCAAATGCGAGCTGCTATGCATCATCTTATGAGTGTACCAGATGCAGATGACGACTCTTAGTATTTGCTCTCGCCGCTACCAGATGAAGACCAGATATGTTTCTGATGCACAGCAACTTCATGCTTGTCATGAGTTCGCTTTGATCCTCTGGAGGACTCGTAAGGAGTATGGGTACAGACGCGAGAGAACCATCATGTAGTTAATCGGTTGAGAGAAATATTACCCGTGATGAAGTTGCTCGTTAAGCAAGGGTACAGTGACCTGGCGTGCATCGGTTTTGTATGATCATGTATCCCGCTTTGAATATTCGAGTCCACGAGCGAACCTACAAAACCTTTTTTGCCTTGGATATTTCACCCTCTTGCGCTTCCCTAAGAACACCTTATGCTTATCTCCAGAAGATGGAGATTCGTGATAAGCGAGACGCAATCAAAATTTTTATTAACACCCAACGGACATCATTATTAACACCCGACTCGTTAACGTCAAGGCGTATGGGCACATCAAATAGTCACCGTAATAAGAGAGCCTTGAAATATTTCATTCACGAACACGATCAATCTTCTTCCCCCGTGTCTCTACTTCTACCAATCGTATAGACTTAGAGCAAGTCTCCAACGCAGATTTACACTGACTCATACTTTTTCCTGTTTACATTTTCTGTAGTTTCTCCTACGCGGAAAAATAAGGAAAGATGGCGTCCAAAGCGCTCCCGGCGAACATCAAGAAGGCCATGCAGAAGGCATTGGTCAAAACAACAGATATGTCACCGGTACATTTTTTTGGTCATTTCAATTCCTTTGTTTGAAAGTGATGTATCGCGAGGACACGATTTTACATATTGTGCTCCTCGTCCTGGTTCTAATTTTATGTTTTGTGGATCCTTCTTGACCTCCACCAGCAACACAAATTGAAACATGACTAGGAACAAGAGCAGGAGGTGGTTGATTGCATAGTGGGTGTGATCGATAAGCAGACTGGTCCGGAAGGGCTCAATATTGAGCCAGCAGCGAAAGCGATAAAAGACGCACTCGACAAGTCATACGGAGCTCAGTGGCACTGTATCATGGGAAAAGGCTTCTCATACGACGTCACCGCACAGACCGGAAGCTTGATGTAGTCGTTGATCATGATGTTGTTACATTTTTTACATCAAGATCTTGAATACGTTTTTACCGTTATAGTTTCTGACATAGGGGCTACCTACTTCGATATGGATTATGTTGTTTCATCACTGATAGAGTACAGTAGATCTTGTAGAGCTAGAGCATCAACAAGAGACACAGGGGTATTACGCACAAATACGCAAACCAGGTTTGTCTTCTATCAAGGGGAAATAGCAGTGTTGGTATTCAAATGCTAGTTGCAGGCGGACGAGGCAAATGATCTGAGAAGATGAGCAGATTTCGGTCGAGCCCGCCGTCTCATCGAAATTTCGTCGAAAAGATTTGCTTTTTTGCTGACCCAGTTGCGAAACTTTTTTTTGCTCTACCCATCAAGCAGAGCTTCATACCCCCCTAAGCATTATATCTTCTAGTACCACTTCTACAAGTACTACAAGAAGTACAAGTACAACTTCCACTACCCCATTGAAATTAAAAAAGTAGACGTCGGGTCAGCCCGTGATTCAACGTCCACGAAATCGATGACAACTTGATCATCAGTAATTGACACTTGTTTTGCCACTACTGAAACTTACTTACTTCTGCTTTGTGATGAATCTAATGAATAACTACGGTCTATGTTATTGTTAGCTCGAGTAAAAAGAAGTTGAAGATAATCCAAATCTAATTACTTATACTAGCAGAGACGATCATCTGAGGACGCATTTCTACAACACGAGACACAGATTGCAGGATGAATTATCGGAATGAATACGAAGAAGAAGATGCACTGACACTGAAAAATTATAAGTAGGAGGGACTACAATTCATTGCGCGAAGCATGCTCCCACGATGGTGCTTCGATAGGAGCCGCAGCTTTCGAAATTGAAAAAAATGTCTACTTGAGCCGCAATTGGTATATTTGGGAGGACCCGCCAAGAAGATGGTTTCTCTTGGTTAATTTGAGATTGAGTGCATGCGAAAGAATCATCCAAGTGGACGTCGTTGATGTCCCTGGGGACGAGAGAATTTAATGTTGCAGACGCACTTGACTTCTAAGAACGGAAAGACAAGAGCGATGCGCGAGGAATCAAATGAGGGGACAATGAAGAGGTGAAGTACGTATTTCAATTACGTATTGTGATGAAGAAGTCGTTTGCCATTTCTTTGCAAAATTTTCACGGCATCATTGGTAATTGTTGAAAAAAAACATGTCGTACTCTGGGTCCTCGTCTAAGATTTGCACCACACCTTTTCTCTCGGTGTGAACTTTTTTGTGTTAGTCGGAGAGCAAAATAAAGCTGCCAGCTACAGCTACAGAAAAACCTGTGGGGCAGGCAGCATCAGGAGTTCGAGTTGTTTGCCACACCAATAATCAACCATGGCGATGTTTAGAACAGCGATAAGGCGAGAAATCGCCAGGCTATCGAAGAATGTCACCGCGGAGGAAATCATAGGGTACCTACGACTACGATGACTACAACATTGTACTGATGTTGTCCCATGTAGTTGTAGGGGAGGACACCTTAGCTCCTCCGTTCTTGATTCAATCTTGCTCTCATTCTCCAAGACCACCGATATAGTAGGATTCACTCCCTTCTATACCATTTACTTACTCATCGCCTCGACATCTCTAAGTCCTACTCAACATACCTACCATCCGCTCCATAATCTTTTCTCCTCCCTTCTTCAGGCCTAGACATGGGAGTATGACTGGAATTTTCGAGATACCGAATTTTCGCAGAATGCCATTCTGGTCATACATCTGGACTCAGAACTTCGTGAATCGGCAGCATTTATTCAATGTACTTCGCACCTCCGGTTTTTAGTTTTACCTCTAGAGATCTAGCCCTTCCAGCAATTCAATGTACTTCGCGCCATTTATAGTCAATGTACTTTTAGTAGTCTGATGTTCGTCTGAATGGTTCTGGTATCTGGTATAGCTATAGCCTGATTTTGATCATAAGGAAAACAAGAAGAGAATCCTTGCGATCAAATTCAGAGCACCAAATACCAGAACCATACATCGTCTCCGTTGCTTTCTACTGTCGGACACGGACTTCGTCGTTCCTGGATGTCATTTGATAATTCAAAGAAAAAAAATCAAATTTACTTAACTGCTCTAAATACGTCTAGTTCTGGTACGTCCCAGTCCGTCTTCTACAACGTAATCACCTCGTCCAACCAGGTCCACCATAGTGGTTACATCGCAGTATGCCTTTTCTTCTGGTACTGTGGGTGCCTGGACACAGCACCGCTTGAGAGAAGATTAAGGCACACGATTTCTAGTAGGCATGCACATTGGATGAATAGGATAGTAGAGTCTCTCTATCAAGCAGGTTGACGATCTCGTGTTCCTATTCAATTCTTGTGCTTTTAGCTGGAAGAACAAAAAGAAGACACATGACTCTTAGCGAGGAGTCAGTGTCGAAAGCGGGTCTCACCTCTCAGGAATCTCTCCAGTTAGATAAGCAGGGATTGAGACCTAAAATATGTCCTCTTTCTCATCTTCCTCCATTAAGAAAAGAATAGTAGCATAGGCATAGAGAAGATAGAGTTTCCGCTTCGCTTTTGTGTTATTCTTGTACTGCATCAAGAAGACTGCTCTCATGAGCATGATGTTCCTATTCTTGTACTTCTACCTGGTGCAACAAGAAGAGGACCCTCAACCTGGTCTTCCTCCTCCTCTAAAAAAAGAAAAATACTACATGAACAGTGCGAAATTTAGGATGCAGACAGCCTATGCGAATCCCGGGACGAGACCCGCAGCGAAAATAGCACAAGAACAGGCAAAGGTAGAAGGAGTTCGAGTTTCTTGTAGTTTCAGTAGAAGAGCATCTCGCATCGTGGTTGATGAAAAGGCTATAATTTTTCGTCATCTCGAACTCTGTTTCACCCATCTTATCGATGTTATGAAAAAAACTGTAACTGTCCTCTACTCCTACGTCACATCACAGCTTCGATACTACTATCGGGGAAACGACCATCCGTTTACGCTGAATGAAACGAAAGACTTCTATTTCAAGATGCGGGAGAACTACCTGATACAAGAGTACATATTTATTTATTAGACGTTCATGACCTCTTCCAGCACTGTTCTCTCTGCTTCAAGGCTTATTTATTAATTTTTCAATTTCTTCTTTCATCTTCGTCTTGGAAAATTTACTTCTCATGCAGCAGATAATTTGTACTTCCGGATCGGTCAAAACTTTGAACTACAGGTATCCTGGAGTGCAATATCCGTTCGTGTACCGACATATGATGCCAGAGGAGGTGGATGATCCTCTGAAAGTGGACCTGTACCCACTACCCCAAGCACAGCCACACTTCCACGAGCATGGTGACCATCACTAATGCTTCCGTGGAGTAGTTCTTTTTGAGACACATATTCATCTTCCTGGAGTTGGTAACGATTTCTTGATCTTCACACACTGGAACTATAAATTTTTTCTTCTACAACTCTTGCTTACTTATCCTTAAATGCTTACTCCTCTCTCAATTTTTGATAATAGACCATTGCTGGCATGCATGAATGCGTGATCATGGATGAAAGAGATGCCGAGCAAATTCGTTCGACGACGAATGGCCGTTATCGTCGAGAGATGACTGAGGAGTCCTCAACTTGTGAAGAGAAGATGTCAATCGGTTAGTCGAGACGAAAACATCAACAGTCGGGCTTTTCCATGAGCTCCATAGTCCTCGAATGGTCGTGTATTGAGTATAGACTCGGTTTGCTTAGACCAGCAGTCGTGGAGCAAAAAAAAGAACGGAGAAAGAGACGAAAAACTAGACCACAGATTACCACCCTCTACCTGTAGATACCTAAGCTGCAACGAACAATCCACCTATGAATTGATTCTCGTTCCACCGAGCTTCTACGACTACGACGTATTCATGACTACAGCGACTCCACTTTTTCAAATCAAAATGAATCTTGCGCGACCATCGATTCGAATTTAGTCCATTGGATTTAGATGAGTGTTTATTACGATTAGTGTAGATTTTGAAAAATAGAAGATGGCGGGCGGCCAGACGAGCGATGTGGAAAGCATCCTCAAGGCCTACCAGACTGAGTACTTCTATCACTTGGATACTATGCAATATATGACAAAGTAACTCATCTCCCGTTTCCATTTTTCGAATAAGAACGATGGATACTATGCAATATATGACAAAGTAATCTTAATAGCCGCAGCCGGTTTTTTCCCACTTTATCTACACAATTTTGCTGCTCAATTAAAAAATATAGATATCAACTTTTCACTAAAAATATCCCAGGTATCCTACGGTAATTGGGTATGTTCTGATGAATGCAGATGGGATTCCATGCAAGTGGGATGCAGATCATGTCAGCTACGATAGAGCAGTCATGTATTGCCGTTATCATCATATTGTAGATACCGACAGGACCAGGAGCGACACTTCTTCAACTTAATATAGCTCTACTTCTTGTTCTGCGTGCAAGAATCTACAAGACGAAGACCCGTGAATTACGAGCAATTCATTGCACTGAGACTGAAAGTTGAACTACAAGAACAGACAGGATACTACGTACAACATCAACATCCCACTCGGACCTCGTCCACAACCTATCATGGATTCCAATTTACATTATTCCAACAGGGTTTCCGCGTTAATGATGGACTACGTGCAAAATTGTAAGAAATCATTGCGAGAGCTGATCCCAGGGCCAGAGTCAGAACTCCAGAACGTCAGGCTGAGGACGACTGACGGCGTCGAGCTTGTCGCTATCTCCGCTAATGAGTACTTCTGGATACTTCTTACAAGTTGAAGATGAAGTAAGGGTAAGTGTAAGAAGAGTCTCTATCAGGATCAGCAGAATATTATCATCTTTTTTTTCACGGTCCTGTATCTAAGTAACTTACTGTCTCAACATTCCCCACCATCATGATCTAGATACACGCTTGTGACAATGCAGAACTGCACTGGAATGCCATGGGATTTCGGTGAGCAGGAAGGAGGAGGAGGCGGCGCTGCGCCAGCAGAGGGTGGCGGTTCATAAGCCACTAGAAGCACGTAATGAAGAGTCGTTGTGGGTGTACCACTTCCACTTGTTCATCTCAAGAGTTGTTGTATTCCGCTTCTAGTTCTCTTCGCATAAACCCACACGACGTTACACTAGGAAGTAGGTGAAGCACACCGACGCACGTGCACTCATCTTCAATAATTCATTTCTGCTGTACTAGTTGTTGCAAATATTTCACGACGCTATGAAAACAAAAACGCTGAAATTCAGATATCACATTACAACTTGACCACATTATCTCTCATTTATTGTTCTCTTGTTCGTACCTACTGGAACTGGAAATGGAATGGTTCACGACTTCTGAAGATGTATTGATGATGTTCTCTTATGTTGAAACCGAAAATATTAACGCGACTGAGCTTCTAATCCGAGTCCGACAGCCACCGCAGTAGAGTCACGCCTGAGCCACGGCGGACCAGCGTCAGACGCTTTCAGTCACACGATGCGACGTGTTTTGTGTATGACCATGATTGTCGTCCTTAAGAAGTGCTGTTTTTGATTCCCTGCGCTAGAGAGTGGCGAACACGGCGTCACGCGAGAGCAAAGTACTGTGAAAAAGCCATTAGGAAAGAAAAAGGCGGTTATTCATGCCATTTTAAGGCTGTGGTCTCGGTTCTATCAACACGAAATCAATTAAGAACGTGCTATGATCGGTTTCGGTTCTCCTGCAAAAACAAACACGGACACCCCCTCCACCTACCCGTTTGCCACCGACACCCAATGGACACCCCTGCTAATTCTTTTTTTTGCTCGAACATGATCTGGATGCCGTATCTTGTCCTTAACGCGAAGTAGAACAAGAAGCTCTTAGCAAAGCTCTTGCTAATACATAGTCCCTATAATCGGAAAAGAAAAAATGGACCAAAGAGCACAGTATCAGTTGGAGAGTGTGCAAGAGGCAGAGAAGTACCTCAAAAAGCACAGGATAAATGAGCTGTTTAACGACCTGTGTGCTGCTGTCTGCTATAAAAAACCGGAGAACGTACACCAGGATTTGAATTTGATACATTGTGACTTTCGTTGTGACTGTAGTGTTAAGTTAGGAATTTGATAAGGATTGAGTAATCCACTATCGGATCGACGAGTTGAAGAAGAGGCAGTCTAGAAAAACTGCATTTGATACATTGACTGTCTTTGTGATCTTGGTCTAATATTAAATTACGGCTAGGTGGTAGTGCAAATGGCGACTCAGTAGTTGTACAAGAAGTCGCGACCTATATTGGAAGAAACATCACCGTACTAAAGGAGGTTCTGTGCTAGTTAATAACCCTTCGTGAACATCATAAAACAACATCATCGTCAGGTAAAAGCTTTCCTGGTAGACGAGTTGAAGAAGAGGCAGTCTGGTCAGGCATCCATGCTCTTCGAGGAGGATGAGATCGAAGCAGTCTTTAGAATGGCGGATTTGATGCAAGTAGGGACAATCACAGTCTCCCAATGCCGACAAGCACTCTGCTCGATTGTACTTCTACCAATTAGCTAGTTGTTTTCATAGTTGTTTTTGATTTTTTTACACCCTTCCACAGGATTAAGCACGATGTACCCCTAGAATGGGTTTACTACTACTACTACTACTACTACTACCACTACTACTACTACTACTACTACTACTACTACTACTACTACTACTACTACTACTACAACATGAATTTGCATGATACCCAAAAACTACGACTCGTCGATCTCTCCATCTCCTCGCTCCATCACCATCCCAGGTCAACACGCAGGCGCAGCACGATTTGGCTTCGCAGCTCACTTTCCCAGACGAAAGAGTGGACCTAGAAACTTTTAAAAAGAAGGTGAAGGAACTCTTTGCGTAAGAAAGAAAGGGTTGTTCTCTTCTGCTTGTCGTACAAGGATAGGGAGAAGTAGATAGTGGTACTGGTAATTCATTGTATGACCGAGATTGACAGTAGATGAACATGAAACACCGATGAACCATCAATTTTCACCATGAAATTAACTTTTCGACTATTCAGACAGTATCATGTTGACTATGTTACATTTACGATTCATTGCCCAGAATATGAAGAACGCACCTACCTGTAGGACAACCGCACCGACCACAGGTTCTCTCTATTCATAAGAGAATTAGAGCCATGATATATTTTGCCTAACGGACTTCAAGATGTGGTGGAAAAAAGAAAAATGCTCATGGATTAGATCATGAGACGAAGCGATGAACAAGAATAGAACGCTAAACATTATAAAACAATTTCACGACGAGCATATCGAAAGATATCAGATTTGATCTTCACAATGTCGTATATGTGCTGCTCGTGATGTCGCAAACAAAAAGAGCATCAGAAAATTGCACCTGAAGCGCCAAGGACATCCAGTTAGATGAATCATAGCAACGTGATGCTGATGCACGGCACGGTTCGCAAAACCTCAACAAGTCGGTACATCATGCATTGGCGGTGTACAAGTCAACTACTTCGCTGAATCTACCTTCGGTATGTGGTACAGCTACAATAATTCAAGGTTATGCAGCGTCTACCTCCGATCGGTTCGACTGGTGAAGTTCTTAACAACATCTGTGAACTCTTAGAGTACGACCACGACGTCGGTGGATCATGAGACCTGTAGGAGTGATGAACGCCGGAAGAACAACACACGCACACCCACCTGAAGAAACTGTTTCCCTCAATTGCAAGCTCGCCAGTATCATCCTCTATGCAGCCTAATCATGTACATCTTTCTCTTTGTGAAGGAAGTATCGGAATCGGTCTTCTTCATACATACACGACTCTCCGCACGTCGTCTAAGTCCACCCACATAGAGGATCATTTGTAGCTAGTCACGAGCACCGAGGAGACCTGAAGGATCCTATCTTCATCATCGACATCGTACAACCTACTTCTAGCGGTAGCAGCAAAATGCCAGACTTGTTTCCTCAGCCGTCGAATAATGACCACCCTCTCTCTGCCAGAGGGGGTCCCTTAGACGGGCAAGAAAACGACAGCACGGAATTAGACGCTGCTATCGAAAACCCAGGTGACCGCAGTGGCCGAGAACGGGAACGACAGAAACTGTCTTCAAAGTTAAGCTCGAGATTTTTTTCGAGGTGAAAAGGTCCATCAACTTCACCTAAGGTGAATCACCTTGCTGATTGTTTATAGAAGATCCACCTAGACCTACAAAATGTTCTCATGAAGAGAAAGTTCTGTTGATTCTGAAGAGCACACTCGAAAGTATGACTATAAGTACCACTTTCTCTTCTATATCTTCCTGCTCTGGTCTGTCTTTTTTCTAGTTAGGTCGGCTCCACCACAATTATAAGTACCACGAAAGTTTTCTTGCATTTTTTAAGTAAGTACTAAAGTAGAACAAGATTTTGTAGAAGTTGTACCTTCTAAAATGAAACGGAGGACGGACTGCATATGACACTTTGGACGCTGGGAAACGCGACCCAGAGAGTGGAGAACCTCTGGAAGGACCTTCATCCAAGAATTTTGAAGAAGGAGTTATGACTGAAACTTCTGAATAACTTGTTACTCGTAGAAGTAAGTTGTTCTAGTGAGAAGGAGAAGAAATCACCTCAATCTCTCTGTCCTCTTTGGACTCATCAGTACTTGTACTTAGTTGCTTGGTCATTCTAATTTCCTTTCCTCTACTTCTGGAGCAGCAACAGCAACTACAACGTCCCTTGCAAGTGGGGCCAACCAAGGTACATGGCGCTTTCTGTTTGCGCAGTTTCTACATCGACGTGGGTTTCGGACTACACATGGACAGATTTGCATTACTGCACTTGTTGTGTATGGCGGCAGCTACCTTCTTCTGTGAGACGCCCTATCATGGTGGATTCAAGAATGTGAGTGTGATCCCTAGTGGTCGTATCAATGTTCATGAACGACTGGATGAAATCAATCGAGAAGTTTTCGTAGAGATCGAGATGGATGACAGTCTTTCTCTCGTCCGCCATCTTCTTCTAATCATCTGTCTGCAGTTTCTTGCTGTTCTACTCTTGCTGTGCGCCAGAGGTGTTTGATACGGTAGCGGGTTGGTGTCATCACATTGGTTTTTGCAAACTATTCTGTGTTCCTCGACTGCCCACTTGCTGCGGTTCGAATCGAGCGTGGCAGTCATCGAGCTTGTCGAGTTTATGAGGAAAGTTTTAGACATAAATCTTGAGGGTCTTGCACAGGACAACTCACTTTATGAATATTTATCTTGCAGGTACTTATCTAGATCTACGTCTACCTGTGCCTCCTCATCAGCCTAAGTTAGCTCGAGGTCTTCTTCTAACCACAGGCGAGCTCCATAGCTATATGCACACGACCGGTGACGCGACTGCATTCGTTCCGAAGAAGCTTGACCGGCATTGGGTTGATGAGCCTTTCTTTATGAAAAGAGAGTGTAGTACCAGTTGAAAATGTATGGTTCTGGTATTTGGTAACCTGAATTTGATCCTAAGGGTTCTCTTCTTGTTTTCCCTTAGGGTTAGGATCAAACTCAGGCTACCAAATACCAGAACCATTCAGAAAAGCAAAGAAATCGAAAATATCTTCAGAACGAATACATGGTCATAGAAGATACAACGGTCATGCTCATGCCCTTCTTTTGAGTCGTAGCCCTCTACTTAGGTTCACCCTTCTTCTCCTCCCTTTTCTTCTAACTTCTATCGTGACGACGAGCTATCGCGTTTTTCGGAATTGGGCCACCCCGTGGACACGCTGCAGACTTTGGTTGCCCAGTTTCGTGCTGAAGGCAGGGGCATCATTTTTCTCACCGGTGACTCGGCGCTTGACAATTAAGGAATTACTTCAGGTTCAGTGTGATAAAAGCGATTATTAAAGACACTCATTCATTCAATATCTATGAATTTGAATATCATCAAAACAAGAAGATGCATTGCTGTAGACATTGCTGTAGTAAAAGTTGTAGGGACGAGGGTAAGTTTGCAAGCCCTTTAGGGTCCTAAACTATTCTCCACCTGTAGTTCGTTTTCGTACCACGCGAGTATCAAGGACATCTTTAGCAAGTAGTTCGTATTGGACTTGGAGGTAAATACTTTCACCTTCTAAAACACCAAAGAGTTCGTTTTGATGGGACCGAAATATCCGCTGACACAATGGGCCCTCCCCTCCAACGGATACGAAGTCCAGATGGGAATGACAACATTTTTATGATATTGTAGATGGGAAGCTGCGAAAGTACTTGTACTTGACTAATTATATCTAATGCTAATGTTGATGATGATGATCCTTCTAAACCTAAAGCTTCAGACTTAGAAGGAATTCTTAAGAAGTTCTTAAGAAGTTCTAAACCTAAAGCTACGTAGTAGAAGAAGTTTTTAAGAACTACCTCCAAGAAGAGCTTCTTCTACTACATGGTCAAAAGAAAAAGTTACCATAAGCTTACGTGACCAACGTTTTAGTGTTTAGGCTCTCTCAATACTCTCACGTCACTCTCCCTTGCTGCACTTCTACGCGGAACCCTTTTTTTTTGTCAGTCTACTTGTCTACAAGAAGTCCACCAACATTTATTTACGTGGCTTGAGTCGGGGACGGGGCCCGAACCTACGAACTAAGAGACGGGGCCTGCCTTGTAGAAAAGCTTTCACGTAAGCACTATCCCTTTTGCTTGTCCTTCCACGTAAGCACTATCCCTTTTCATCACAACACGACGCGTCACCGCAAGAAAACATGCCAGGTCCAGGGAACGCAGCTCCTACAAGCAAAGCGGCTTCGTCTCCTGGTACGTTTGGCATCAAAGCGATGTTGCGCGACGTCTCCTGGTGGATGAGCCAACTGTTGATGGATGTGTCTGACTTTCGTGAAATGGGCCAAGACGTGCTGCCAAATCTGCGTCCCAGTGATTCTTCTTATTCTTAAGGCTGTCAACGTGTGGGTGTGAACGTGTACGATTTAGATTTCTGTGTGTATGTTGGGTCTTCTAAGGTAAAGAAAACAAGAACCAACTCTCACTCATCTTGCCTTCTAATCCCCAGCTTATGCGCCTCTGAATGCTGCTGTCGCAGGCAGTCAGATGGGGCAAAGGGTCGCACTTATTGGAGCAGGTGAAGTCGGAAAAGCACTGTCGACTGTGGGAATGATGGCAGGTATGATTATAGCAGCATCAATCTTTTTTCATTTCGTGCAGGCACCATGTGATATTAAATCTCTCTCACTCTCCCCTAGGCTTTTTATTTATCATGAAGGCCTGTCACTGTCTAGAATACTACACTCTCGCAAAGTGCAGCAGGTGAGAGCTCTGAGTTCTAGGCTGAGCCTGTTTAGTTTTCCATTTGCTGTAAAAAGAATATAATCAGTATTTTGGTCTTCCTCGGTCCACCTACTTATTTTCATTCAAATCACCACATCAACCACAGCGACAATCACAGCCACATCCTCTATCTGCATTAAACACATCATGGTCATCAGGCAGTCTCGACGCCATGTTGCTATCACGTTTCAGCAGTCATGATCAATTTTTGCGTGCCAATATGCAGAGTGGGGACGTCCTGGTGGTCAGTCTGGGCGGCAACGACCTTCTGAATCCTCGTAACATGAGGGACCAAGTCTTGGATCACGAAAATCCTTCTCAGCAAACCCTTCAATTATGGCTCTGTTGTACCACTTAGATGTGGTACTCGCTTGTATGATATATGATATGCTGATGTTCCGTTGCTTAAACGACCAAGAATCTTAACCTTCTAATCTCAGCTTTCCTGCATGAGGTCTTTTTTGTCCAGAAGATGATATACATCAAGTACGTGTGTGGCCTCCATCGTCCTCGTGCGATTGTGCTTCCCACATATTATGGCCGAGATTTGCTAAAAATCTGCATCTACTATAGTCCAAGAACCCTAAAAACTGTAATATAACCCTAGTACAAAGCAAGAATCCTCATGCTGATCCATGAAGTTAGAGGAGTCGCAATGCTGTATTTAAAGAACAAGGCATATAAATTAATATAACGCAGCATCCTCAACATCATCCTCAGCATCATCCTCAACATCATCCTCAGCTTGTAGGACATCCAGCATTCTGTTTCATCCTCTAATCGGACGCCGTCCCTGAGATGGATATGCGAATGCGCATCGTGATGGCTGGATTAGGCCATCAGCTGGGCATGTCGTGGACCAACCTGATGCCGCAAGTCTTGGACATGGTGGACATCGAACACAAAGCGCTGAAAAAAGCCATCGAAGCAGAATGGCAGGGCGTAAAAGTGATTACTTTATGATGATATTTTTATGTTACATACTACTCATACGTGATAATAAATACATGACTGTACGTTACATAAGGATAAGAATAAGAAAATCTATGAGATCCGGATGATACTGATGGTGAAGTAAGACAGAACAAAGACAACTTATAGTACTGGTTCTAGTAGCTTTCGATCACTTCACCTATAGTCGATCACCCTCCATCGAATGTTGTAGAAAATGAAACGTCTTTCTCTCGTTCTCTAATCCGGATCCCTGTCCATCGTGATCTCGGGTTGGCTGCTGGTTACCCAGATGTCGTCGGTATCCACCCAACGAGCCAAGGGGGTATCAAACTGGCTTATGGCTACTTGAAGGCCTTGCACGATGCTCTCTCTGGCGGACGCTAATACTAGTTGTTGTAAATAGTGAACAGAAGAGAATGAAATGGAATAGCTGAGGAGGTGGAAAAAGAAAGGACCTGGTATGAGAACACATAACGAGGTGGAGTTAATGAATTTTACTGACCGAAAATTTAGATTACCTAGTTGTAGTTGAAAATAGATGTTGCATGAAAAACATTTCAATTTCCCAGATGAGGATCTGCATGATGCTCATGAATAATTTGTACACGAACACGACGTCGAACCCGAACGAACACCACTTACAGAATTTCATATTAAAGCTTAACCCTAAGCCTCTGCACCAATTATACCAAATACTAAAAAAATAGTGCCAGAAGATGACTATGTCTAAACTATATAACTAGATCATCATTTCACAAGTACAGCATGCATAATGAAAGGACTAGAGACAGCAAAAGGACATATAAATACCATAAAAAAAACAAGAAACTGATAATTCACACGATAAAATCTAGTATCTTCCCTATCTTCATGAATGATGATCATAATTTCGTCGTAAGACCATTTCCCACTAGCCTGAAGTAACCATTCATTTTCGTAGAAGAAGTACTCATCTATCTTCATTATCACTCACAGCACACTCACACTCACTACGCATCCTCATTCCCATATTGACGTACTAAACAAAAGTGTTGTTCCCGAAATCCACAACTGACCACCACCTCTCCTCCATACCATACCAGAAGTAATGCTTTGTTTCTGATCACGAAAGCGCATCCGATGAAGGGAAACGTTCAAGGAATGAATGGCTCCCGCTTTGGCTGCTGATTGATGCGTGAATAATGACATTATGTATGTTGGAGGCCTAATATAAACGGATCCTAATATAAACGTGGCCACTAAGATTTAATTAGATATTTGAATTACTTGACTTTTTTTCGGTCTTTTGCTTTCTAGTTAGGTGTGCTCCACCGATATGACATTATGTATGTTGGATTTGAAGCATCAATTGGAAGATGAGAACAGATTTACTATCACTTTCTACATCAGCATACAACTACACCAACATGGCGGACGATTTGCTGGATCGTAGTGCGGATGTGCGAGCTGATGCGGATGGTGTCTTGGTCGTGATCGGAGGCGACCTTGGGGATCCTGCAGCTGTGGAATGTGAGCAAACATGCCTGCGGAAGCGATATCCTGGCATGTTATGGTGATGTAATATCGAGTATGAGTTGATGATCAGATAATTAAGCTTAAAAAGTGTTGAATATAATTGTTGCTTAGTACAACTACAACTACAAGTCACTCCTGATACTCTCAACAGCACCGTCTTACATTTACCGTTGCTTCTTCCGCAACTTATTGACAATCATGTTCTTAAGTACTACGAACAAGTTCAGCCTGTTCCTGTTTTCATAATTTGTTTCCAGGCCATGCCCACTCCGAAGCAGCCGCTTGGGAGTCGACTCGGTTGAGAGAACAACCTCCCATCCTTTGGCTCAAGAATGTTCTAGGTCAACACCCGAAAGGACAATCTTTGCAGTCCCCACACGTCTCTCCGCTGCCCTACCATATCACCATGAGCTCTATATTTTCACTACCGGATGGACGATGGACGTGATGCGTTTGATAACTACGGCACAATATTGAAATTAAAATTATGAAAGTCCCTGTGGTCCTTGTGTTTTTCATTGAATACATGCGTCTTCATCTTCTGTCAAAATGAAAAACACAAGTGTGGAACATGAACAAGATCAACAAGAAATGTTCACGTTGTTCACAGAGCATACTCACGCCTTACTTGCAGCTTCGGCGTCTTTTGTTGTGGTTGATGAAATCTTCCCACAGAAGGACACGTAGTGAATCTGAATACCTGTTTTTAATATTTTTACTAGTGGTTCTCGGTCTCGGAAAACCACAACCTGAGCCTGAAGCTGAACCTGCAGCTCTAATCTTTGCGAAAAACGATCGCTTCCAAGTCTTCATACTGCGCTGATGGAATGGATGCTGGACAAATGAATACAATGTGCCTTGGGTGAGGAAAATTGTGATTGAGTCACATCGTTGTGTCCCTGACTCTGTCTGTCTCTTATTTGCCGACTTCTTTTATGATTGTTGAAGTTGAAAAGAGAAACTTCTAGGTACTCTTTTGGACGAGGTGCTTCTTAAATCCTCTAAGTTAAAGAAGATGCAAGTACCGATGTTGACCAGCGTCCTTCAAACACCAAAACCTATCGAGAAGCGGCTCTACAGAATAACAAGACATTGAAGCACCACCACGCGGAGGTCTGCAACATCTACACAGAAGCACACCTGTCAAAGTATTTGGCGTTGGAAGTCGGACTTACGCTGAGTTCACCACTTCACTGGAGATCTGATCATAGATCTCGTTGCAGAAGACCACGAAAAAGAAACTTTAAGTCCCACTATACAACACCAAATACTACAAGTGTATGATTATGAAGGTCTGACGGGGAACGATAACGAAGGTCAGGAAAGAAGAAAAATCAGTAGTAGAAACATAACAAAAAAAGTAGTGGGAGTCCAAGTAGTCCAGCTTTGAAGCGCATTCAGGGAGAAAAGCAAGACAGCGGCTGGGCTACGATGCAGGATGAGGTCAATACTTATCTTCCTCAATTTAACAAGGGTTGTTGCCCTATAAGCAATCCATCTTATTTTGAAGCATCTTAGTTACTTGAAGCTTCCCCAGAACAAAGGCAAAGGGGAAAGGAGCACCAAGATGGATGCGTCTCAGGGTGAATTATACTAAGGAAATGGAGCTCAGCTCTATAATCAAAATGTCCGAACTGTGGTCACTGTGGCGTAACCGTTGGCCCTAATCATTAGCTTGTAAGTACCCCCCAACGGTGGGTGGCTGTGATACGGAAGATACTAGAACCTCCAGACCCAGAACTACTAGTGACAAGACCAGAACTGGCAACTGAGCAAGTGCTTTTATCCCTTCCGACGACTACCTGAATCGATCGGCACGGTTGAAAGCTTTTGTTCTCGACAGTGCTAAGCGGGGCGCCAGACGTGGCGAAAGAAGTGTCATTCTAGAGCTGAATGTTAAGGCTTCTCCTAATGCATCTCCAGAAGCTGCATCTAAGATGCAGCTTCTGGAGATGCATCTTGCGACTGTGTGTTCCATAGAGATAGATAAGGGGAAAACAGCTTTAAGATGAGTCCCATGATGCATTAGGGTGAGTTCTAAGAATGGCGCCACAGGTGGAACAGGAGCTACAACTAGAATCACCTCTGCCTGTGGTCTCCAACGTGAACCTGAGACCAACGAGGACAGTAGAACCAGAAACTCAATAAGTCCTGAGGACCAACAAACTTCAAATCTCCTCCAGAGTGGCCGATGCATAACAAAAAAATTCATGGCTGAACTTCCGCGTTCGTGTCTTATCCGTTAAGGGTTTCCACATCACATCCCGGACTCCCATCCTTGGCCTTTTTTCAAGTAGAAAATAGGTGAAGAATGAAGGATGTTCCAAAGAATGTAATGCGGAAACCTTTAATAAATTCGGGTCAATAGGGACCGATGGAGCGTGTCAGAGCGAAGAGTTGAAATGAACCACCACGCATCTGCTTAGCACTCGTTACAAAATTGAAGTTTTATGAAGAACCAAACATCATAGGGTATTTTGATTCCGTCCATCTCTGCGGTAAGGTATTTGAAGGAAGCGGTATTTGAAGGAAGCACTAAGCAGTGGATGGAAACTTTGTTGAAAATGAATCAGTAGAAGAGCTAGTGGTAATGTTCACAGATCTCAAGGGGGCAGGAAAGGATACTGGTGAACAGCCTTCGCGTTTTGGTTCTCCTCAACCTGTAGCCAAACAATTGCCGGAATACACTTTTACTTTACATACGTGGTAAGAAAATTCTTAACTGATTACAAACTACATGTACAAGTACAGTGAGTGTGATTGTGAAAAGTCATAGATAACGACAACAAGGCTCAATCACGTACTGAAGGTAAAATCATGAACATGAACGATGCTGATGTAAAGGTGCAGCCTGTAATTCCAAGAGCAACTCGTCATGCAAGATGTTGACGGTGGCTAATGCACAGTGAAAAAAAGCACCATTTTCATCGTTGAAGACCGAATGATATTTCGCGAATAGAAATAGAATTCACGATCACGAATGATATATTTTTACTCGTGGGAGGGGAGAGATGATTCAAAAAAGATTTGAGTCTAACTTGTGTAATCTGTTGATGCTGACGAGTCTGTCAGAGAGGAAGAGCGCCAAAGCGCAGTCTGTTGAGGAAAGCGGGAAAACAAAAAGATGGCTAGCCGAGTTTCAGAGTGTGAACAAAAATGTCTGTCAATTTGACAAAAACATCTGCTGATTAAGTACGCCCGAATCTTCTCCATCTGTATGAGCAACATCGAGCGAGGTCGAACAACAAGAGAGTGCGAGAGTAATACTATGTATATTTATAATGATATGTGACGAGGTCGAGGACGGTCTGACTCTGATGAGACAAGAAGATCTTCTATGTACGGCCGCGTTTATATTCGAGATGATCGATCAAAAGGTACTTCTCAAAGACCACACTACCGCCCCAAAAAATTCCAGTCGCAAGAACGCCCACCAACCTTCAAGTCAAACGGTTAGTTAGAGTTCCATTTCCGAAACTAAAGTGTAATAAACTCCATCTCAACTCATAAGCGCTTTCTTGTAGTAGAAGTGATAGCCTAGAAGTACTCGTTCTCGTACACGACTAGTAACTTGCTTCTTAAGGAAAGTTATAATAACTTTTTATAATAGAAAATCTTTAAGGAGATCGATTTCCTTAAGGAAGTAGCTCCTTAAGGAAGCCCCTTAAGGAAGCTCCTTAAGAGATTTCCGCCAATTGCTAATACTATAAATACTAATATAATATATATTTGTTCCACCAGGGCTCAGGGCTGAAGGCCCCTCCCTCCAGATCTAACTTGTTGAGGGGGGGGGCCTCCAGCCCCGGACCCTTTTTCCGAGGGGCTGCCAGGCGGGAAGGCCTCGAGGCGCCCACCTCTGACCCCTTCCCGCTTCTTGCCTGGACCCTACAGCGCCACCATGCCGGAGGCCGTTGAAGCATTGAAGAGCGGGCTTGGACGGCTTCCGAATGTGGCAAAGGTGGCAAGGCGTGACCCCCTTGGCGTGTTGCATGTACCCGGCCGACCTGCCTAAGGTCGCAAGGCTGGAGCCCCTTGGCGTTTTGCGTGTACCCTACAGACCTGGAGAAGGTGCAAAGGTGGCAAGGCTGGAGCCCCTTGGCGTGTTGCAGTTACCCTACAGACCTGGCGAAGGTGCAAAGGTGGCAAGGCTGGACCCCTTTGGCGTGTTGCTTGTGCCTTACGGACCTTGGGGCGCCTCCCTTCTTTCGGCTCTTTTTGCCGTTCTCTTCCCCCACTGTGATACGCCAGAGGCGACCACGCCACGGGTGGGCGCTTCTCGTCGCTCGTTCCGCTCTCGTCCCTCGTTCTGCTCTCGTTCCTCGTTCTTCTCTCGTTCCTCGTTCTGCTCTCGTTCCTCGTTCTGCTCTCGTCCTTCGTTCTGATCTCGATCTTCTCTCGTCCCTCGTCGTCGCTCGTTCTTCTCTTGTCCCTCGTCGCTCGTTCTGCTCTTGTCCCTCGTCGCTCGTTCTGCTCTCGTCGCTCTTCCTCCCTCCCTGGTGCATATTTAAATATGTATATATTACACGCCTCCTACTTGCTTCAGCGTTGCATCACTAATCGTGATCATCATCAGCATAAACATTGACATTATCGTCAAACGGAAAACAAGGTACTATGTTTGTATTTCTATTTAGCTCTTTCTGACTTATATTCTATCATTACTAGTCTTGCTACTTTCAACATTTCGCTCCCATCTACTAGTCCTCTTCTAGATCATACTTATTTCAAGAATTTCAGTTTTACTACTTACTAGCACGGATCTTTATCTACTAAAGAAACACTGGGTAGTAGGACCGACCAAAAGATGGGCGCCGTTCTCGGGAAACCAGCTCCAGGCTGGTATGTCGTTGTGTTGGTGTACATTTTTACGATAGACACGACTTCTGCCGTCCTGTTGCTCACGAAGATTCGAGCCGCCGTGGAGGCACCGAACAAGGCAGATCATGACAAGGGGGCAGACGAGGCTGTGCTCCAATACATGATTAACAAGCGTGCGGAGGTACTCAGGACGAGGACAATGCTGGAATTAAGGCACGTCTGGACGACTCAAAAATACAGTGACAAAATGTACAAGGCACTGGAAGCCTACATTACAGAAGAGCATGAGGACCCCTGGGTGCAAAGGAGAGCCCATGGAGAATGGTTTGATAAGCGTTTCCAGGAAAGCTTGAATCTGGTAAACAAATGGTATACAGACCTCGAAAAGCGTAATTTGAAGAAGCCGCTGATTGACGCATTCTGTGACGCGGCCTCGCCAGCGCGACAGCTGCTGACCAAGCCTCCTTCTGGCGCGTCGGATGCCGCTGGAGAGGGCTACATTTTTGACAAAGTAGGACTATGCGACGTCGAAGTGGATTCTCGTCCTTCTGATGTTTTCCCACAATTTGGCCTTGCCTTGGGCGTTGATGCTCTTCTAGAGTGGCTGGCAGGATACATCGTGATGCCCGTAAAGTCATTTACGGACGTCGATGATAAGAACCGCGATCCCTCCGCCCCTTCCTTTTGCTACTGGTTGTACGACGTGCGCACGGACACGAATCCGGAATCGCCGCGCGTGCAAGCTGCGCTAGCCATGGAGTACGCTTTTCTGTTCCTAAAACTAACTGGGAGTTCCCATCTTTTTACTCACGAACACGATGGCAAACAACTTCAACTTCTCCAGACGCTGTTTCTACCATCCCAGTTCTCCACAGAAGTCGAAGATTTGGTTTTCGAATGGGACAAGGATCTCCCGGAGGTGGCGGGGGTGCCAGATCATGGGTTCATTATGCATCGGTCTTCGTTTATCCCTCTGCAGCTCTTATTCGAAAGCGTCTTACGATTGTACGACCCAGCGAGTCGGACTTTCGGTCAGCGCCTCGGTCTGAATATGTTGAGTCAACTGCTGCCTGAAGTTAACGAACAGGACGACGCGGGAAGCAGGTCGTCGTTGGCTCCTCTGATAGGTCCGATCAACATGTCGATGTCGAAGTCTGGCCGCCTTTCCGACTTTTCCCTTTTCTATCGGAAAATATCAGCTGGCACTTTGTTGTCTTTGGTGCAGTCCTCTTTTCTTGGTACTCCTGGTGACGATGAAGGCGCGGGCGCCAGAAATACTGGAGCAGTGGTGTTGGAGTCGAAGAAGCATGACTCGTATGCGTATATGGCCAAAGGAGCTCTGGATGTCGCAGCTCTTTACAAGACACGCCTCCCCACTTAAGGCTTCCCCTAATCCATCTCTTCTATACATAGCGATGATCCTTCAAGAACAGTATGCACCCCAATAAAAGAAAGGTGCTGACGCATGTGCTTGAGGGATTTCCACAGGGATGAACTGGGGAGAGGTCTAACTAGAAACGACTGCGCACTTCGGGTATATCCTAATCCTGACGCCATATGTGATTAAGGGCGCGCCTAGCAAAAGCGAGGCTGTCAAACTAATGGTTACGGGAACAACGGCGCCGCCCAATGTCCTTGAAGATGGTGGTAAGTTGCCTGAGCATGGCAATTTTTTTACGACGCCGCTCACCCCAGTGATCGGAGTCTCCGGCGCACAATCGGAAAAGGAGTGGGTAACTCTCTTCGGGAGCGGAACGTTGAGCATCCAGGATGTTTTTCTTTTTTCTAGACTTGGCCATTGGAAAAAGACTTTGCAGGAGCAGGTTCGCGCGACTACAACTCGAACTCCACAGACAAATTATAAGGATTCTGCTGATTTCAATTAAGGGCAGGCTTTATCCATCTTTCTCAGCATCTCGATAACGATACCCTTTTCCCTTGGATTTCACGGAAAAAGGGGTCGACAAGAGGGGGCCGAGATGAAGAAAAGCCGGCGACTCTAATTCGAAGCCTTTTCCACTGACCTAATGGCGAGTCTGTCGGATGCCGCAGGGATGAACTACAAGAACAAGAAGTTCCGCGCAGACGGGAAGGGCGATGTTGATGAATACTTCGGCTTGCCGGATTCCCTGCACATGATTTTGAAGCACATTTGGGGATCTTCATATTCTGCGAACATGCCAGAAGCTATCGTGGTCGGAAAATTGATACAAACGCCACTGAACGCGGCATAGTGCGACGATCCTTCTTAGACTGTTTCCTGTAGGGAAGAGTGAGAACTTATAATTTGCGCCGTGGTGTCTGTGTATTTCTACTGAGTGCACAGACCTTGTTGATCATGATCTTCTATTCGAAGCTATTAAGATATTAAAAGCGGAGAAGGTATTAGCATCACCATGAGCAAGGCGAAAGCGAAACTTATAATATAGATGTTCCAGGGCTCAGGGCGGGAGGCCCCCCCTCGATCTAACTTTTTGAGGGGAGGCCCCCAGCCCCGGACCCTCTTGCCGAGGGGCTGCCGGGCGGGAAGGCCTCAAAGCGCCCACTTCTGACCCCTTCCCGCTTCTTGCCTGTACCCTACAGACCTGGCAAAGGTGGCAAAGGCTGGGCCCTCTTGTCGTGTTGCATGCGCCCGACAGAGCTGGCAGAGGAGGCAAGGCGGGACCCGCCCCCTTGGCGTGCTGCATGTACCCGACAGACCTGGCAAAGGTGGCAAGGGTGGACCCCTCTGGCGAGTTGCATGGGCCCAACCCTACGCCAAGGGGGTGGGTCCCGCCTTGCCTCCTCTGCCAGCTCTGTCGGGTACACGCAACACGCCACATCCGGAAGCCTTCCAAGCCCGCCCTTCAATGCTTCAACGGCGTCCGGCATGGTGGCGCTGTAGGGTCCATGCAAGAAGCGGGAAGGGGCCAGAAGTGGGTGCCTTGAGGCCTTCCCGCTTGGCAGCCCCTCGACAGACCTGGCAAAGGTGGCAAGGCTGGACCCCTCTGGCGTGGTCCACCACCGATCCATCCACCGGGGGGGGGCCTCCCTCCCTGGTACATATATGATAGATCATCGGAGCCGTGCGAGGAGTACGCAGTAGATATGGCTACATACTACAATATTATATTAGAGTAAGGCCAATAACGGGTTTCGAGTTGCTCGAGTTGCCACGAGTTGCTCGAGTTGCCGAAGCGAAGAGCTTCACCCCTGGAACGAGTTGCCACGAGTTGCCGGAAGGTGTCCGCTCCATCGAAATGGAGCGAAGCAGGTCGGTGCGAGCACCAACCTAGCCGCTCGAAGTGGCGAAGTGTAGGAGGCTGCCGCTTTTGTTGTTGCTCATGAAGGGGGCAATCGGGTACGGAGGGCGCCTGAGCCCTTATGCCTTCTTTTTTGTAGCTTGCGCCCGGGCGCTTATTAAAGCACAACCAAGGCCAAGGGGGCGAAGGACTCGCCTCTTTGTTGTTTTTGTTTGGTGTCAGTGTCGCGGTGGCGTGTGGTGTCGTCTAGTCGCTGACGATCTCTCCCTTTTTTCTTCGGATGTGTGCCCAATGAGTCCACTTCGGGGGTGAGAGCGAATGGCCCCCGTCCGCTTTATAGGGCTGCGCGTCCAGCCTTGCTTGGGGTGAGTAGACTAGAGAAAGCATTCCACTGGGTGGAAGTGGGGGCTGGAAGTGGATCATCGCACTAGTTTCGTCGTCTTTACTTAGATGCCGCGAGTAACTAGATGACCAAGCAGGCGGGTGGCTGAGTAGAATGCGACGAGTTTCGAGCCCGAGACGGTTACTCGCTCCTGTCTAAATCAAGGATCAGAGACACGGCTCGCAGTGTCGTACGCTCCTGCTAAGGTTTCGCGGAGTCTCATAAAGCCGCGCCCGAAGGGCGCCGCGTAAAAAATTAGGGTGGGCAACTCGAGCAACTCGAGCAACCCGAGCAACTCGACCCGATACGGGTCAAAAAGTGCCTTATTCTATTATATATGTTTTAGGGCTGCACGGTGCCCCCCCTTGTGGTATGGTCTGGGTTGGCGCGCGCGCTCTTTTCCGCGCTGATTTTCGCGGATTCTATTTACGGAAGGCGTCAGTTGAACTAGGCGCGGGCGCCCCCTTGCGCCTCTCTCTGTGTCCTTCAGGGACCTCCTGGCCTCTGCTGACTCTCGCAGGCGGGAGGTCCCCGGGGTAAAAGGCCGCCGAAGGCGGGCACTGTCTCAAGAGCAAGCAAGCCGATGACCAAGGGCCCGAAGGGTACCGGCCGCGCGGCTCAGGGGGTCCAGTCACTTCCCTTTTGCCGCCTTCGGAGGCCTCTCAAATCCGGCGCACTGCTGCGGCGGCGAAGCATATAGGAGGCAGGGAGGGCACAGGCAGGCACCTGGAAGGGAGCGCAGGCGGCCCCTTGGGCTGCTTCTGAAGCTTTTCACCTTCGGAAGGCCTGGAGGGAACACCCAGGCAGCCGGAAGGGAGCGGAGGAGGCCCCTTGGCCCCCTTTTGAGGCCTTCCACCCTCGGCAGACGCCTTCAAGAGGGGCCCGGGGCTACTGGTGCCCCCCCTACGCTAGGGGGTCATGTATAGTTTTGCTTTTGTCTTGCTCTTGGTCAATGGTCATCCAGCTGCTGCGCCTTATTAGTTAGTCACCCATTTTTCTGATTTCGAAAAATGATCTATCTGACGCCTGACGGTCAGTCAGCGGGGATTCTTTGTGTGTAGAAATTCTTGATGTGAAATTTTGCATCGAATTTTTGGTCATGAAGAACTTGAATGATGTGGTTTCTTTTTTTCCGTATGAAAATTTTATTTTTCAAAAGATCAGATCTTGAACTATTAGTACGTAGTACAACTACCCCGTCTTCACATATAACATAAGAAGATCAACATGATCCAGTGCTTCCTCGAAGATCCTGCTAATTCATTGTTCAAAAGCTCAGCAACGGGATGCGAATGCTCATACATTGTAGATTCCAAAATGAAGATCATCTAATGTTGAACATCAAGAATTTATAGTTACGATCATCTACTAATGGTCGTGGAGGAGCTCCAGAGGGGGGGGTTTTCCACATCACATCAGAAGGTCAGAGGGTCATATAATCTGCTATGTATTGAAGTTCCCAACACTGGTAGGGTTAGATCCTTCGTTACACGCGGGGGGCATGGATATGCGTCGGGGAATTGATGCCCGAAAGAGAAGCACAGTGGGTAGAAAATTATCTTCTCGAGGAAATCATCCTCGTCAAGTTGCGCATTCGCATCGGTCTAGATGTTGGTGTTGGAGCCGTAATAATATATAAGGTCTTGTAGTCGTGCTCGTGACCTACCGTAATACCAGAATACCAGAAGACATTGATTTATTTTTGAATTCCTTTCACCGACAGACATCATTAATATTTCTTTTTTTTCATAGGAAGCAAGCAACGTACGAAGGTTCGTTGTTCGTCTACGTCGTGATTATTTTTGAATTAAAAAAAGACCATGGGTTCTCGTAGTCGTTATCGATTTTTTCATTATCACTCGTTTTCCTTTTCGTTTTGCTTTTGTACAGGTGAAACTGTGGACGGCGAGTCAACTCCTATCCTATCATATCCTCGCGGACCAGGAAGGATAAGGCGTAGAAATTGATAAGATAAAATAAAAAGATGTAGATCATTTTCCTTCTCATGATCCAATGCTCCCTTGAAGATCCTGCTAATTTATTGTTCAAAAGCTCAGCAACGGGATGCGAATGCTCATACATTGTAGATTCCAAAATGAAGATCATCTAATGTTGAACATCAAGAATTTATAGTTACGATCATCTACTAATGGTCGTGGAGGAGCTCCAGATGGATCATGATTGTCTCACCACAGGGTTTACTTTTATCGCTATCAACCGATAGCGATACGCAGATCCTGAAGAATTTTCCTAGGTTTTATTTTCAGCAGGGAGGAGTCTCTCTGTTGTTGAGTAGGACCAGATCTTATTTGTGTTTAAATTGAGCTATAAGCAACATTTTCGTTTTTAACCACAACAGTACATCAACGACATCCATCACACACAAAGAAGTGCGCCAGCATTGATCAATTTCGAGCCCATAAGCATAATATTTGTACTTGTTCAACAGCATTTGTTCTTTCTCCGCTACTGCACGAACATCAATCCTTATGCTACTTTGTCTCGCTACAACACGTAACTTTCTCTTTGTATCCTTTCTTCATCACACAACATTTGGGCTTCAATCTCATCATTTCTAGTGTTAGACCACGTCAATCACATCACCAAGACAACGACCACCACAACGCTTGTCCATCACCAAGAGGACAAGGACCACCACCGACCACACCAAAAAGATGAGGCTGTTAACTCACAATCTGTTGATGTGCAACAAGAAGGGAGTGGAGAACGGGTTTCCGTTGAAGATAAAGCCACAAAGGGTCATCTACGAAGAGACGGAGTACAACCCAACCTTCACGACAGCGATGATAAGGAAAATCGAATACCCAGCACTCTTGGAAGCGATAGAGTACTGCTGATATTATATGATAATTATGAATTTTTTTACGATGTTTGATGAACCAAACTAACAGAAATTATTCTCGAACATCATAGTAATGATGTCGATGATGAGGAACTTGAAAAGTTACTTGTACTGGCACACTGGCTCTTCATCTACTAAAACCTACAACTCCAATTTGTTACAAAACAGGGATCTCCGATCTTGCTCTATAGTACGAGAAGACGGCGGACCGCAGCAAATAAACGCTGATAGCAGTACAAAGGTTGAACTTCCGAGTTTGCCAAAGGAGATGCCGGTGAATTGGGAGACTAATGAAGAATTTCTTCAAATGATGCATCTAGTTTTGCAGGATGTCTTACTCATGGACGGAGCCCTCATCTGCCCAGAAAGCGGTCGGGCGTTTCCCGTTGAAAAGGGGATACCAAATATGCTCCTCCATGATGATGAGATCTAAGTTGACAGTAACAGTATGTACTATATTATGTTGACAGTATGTACCGCTACCGATAACGTGAGGATCATGATGTCTTCAGTGCTGTTGTCGCGCTGGAACTGGAAACCTTAAATTTTATTGTTTTTCATCTGGGAAATATGAACTATCCGAATTTCTCCAACGACCATTGCGCAGAACACTGAAATTGATCAAGCATTGCACCGAACCATTGAAGTGCTAAATCCGCTCACTAACGACCACTAAGCAAGAATAAAAGTAAGACGTTCTTCTTACTTAATAGGGTCAGGGCCTCCGAGCGTTGTAGGCTCTCCCCTTTGTGTTCCTACAATGACAGCAACAGCGTGGACACTTAGTGCTTCATTTACTGTTTATTACTCAAAAACATGGAGGTGGACGACACTGAGAACGCCAAATGCATTGCTCTCAATATCAGGCTGAGGCAGTATTAATTCAACATCTGTAACTGTAATATAGCGATTGAATTAGCGACCAACAGCGAGAGAAATACAACACGTTGTACTTGATGCAACCGAGACACTGGTGAGAAGAAATAATGCAAAAGATTGTGCAAACAAAAGACGAGGGAAAGAAGCATCAGGGCATACTAGTCTACACAAACATCATGTATAAGTAATTGCAATACACACTGTGGGCTTGGCTAATATGATGATCGTTATAGATATACATAGGTGCCATGAAGATGATCATTATCTTCTTTATACTGAATCTGAATCTTCTATCATCTACAAACTCTTAGCGAGCCCGTAACCCGCCAGGTTACCTTTGTCAGTATAAGTAGATCAATCGTAGGCAACATGGGTGAAAACGAAAATGATTCGCAACATCAACATCTGATCGCAATCGCTTGTACGACTAAAACGAGCGGTTAAAAGTAGAGATGTTGTGAGTGGTTTCAATGAACAATAATAACCAGGAGTGATATACGCCGTCGAGGACGTGCTACTACAAAGCAAGACCTAGTACGTGGCCCACAAGTTGTACAGGACTCCAGTAGTAGCACACGCTTTTCGTCGTCTCTCAAGTAGCAGTCTCGTCTCCGCGATGACAACAGGTCGAACACCGTCTCCCGGAGCAGGTGGTGATCCAAGGATGCATGGTGGAGCCCCCCATGGGCATCTGAGTGGCGGTGTGATGTCACGCCCAACACCAAGTAGCTCTTCCACACATCCTTCAAAGAACATGAACAGTTTTGGAGGTAAATCTACAAGTAGACGAGCGGGCGGATATCTTCCACCTCCTGCACCATCAAAAACTGCAGACTTAGTGCAGTCAAAGTTGCTGGAGTTCTTTTTCGAGTGGCTGTCGAAGCCTGAAACAGCAAATTTTCTCAAGCAGTTGGAAACAAGTACTGGCGTTAAGGCTTTGGATTAGATTATCTCATGGATGCTACGATCAATCAAATACCTATTTGGGAGGATCAAGAACATCAGGAGCCCCCACCGCCACCAGGGTATCTATTGCTTTTATTTGAGATGGTGGTCTTGGCGGCGCGAGTGAGAGTCATGCTTTTTGCTATGATTTCGGACGTTTTGGCGGACAGTGGAAGACCAGCAAGCCATTCGGCAGCAGAAGGGCCTCTCTGCGTCTCAGGAGGGTCGAACCTGCTCATCTCTGTTTCTGGAGGATCTGTAGTTCTTCTAACATAGAAGCAATTGGAGATACTGGCACAGGATCCTTTGCAGGGGCTAAAACCGCAAGCAACCAACAGCACAACTACGGCGTTAGCAAGCCATTATTACCGGATAGTCACGTGAACAAAGTACTACAACTAGCTTCGCTTTCGCACTTCTCGTGAAGTCGAATTGGAATTCGAATTTGAATTCGAATTTCATCTTTCTTCTTGATGTTGGTAGGTACAACGAGGACCACTCATACGCGTACATATTGCATACAGTCTATGATTTACAAAATCAAACAAATGGAAAAGTTTGTCCAGTTACAGTTACACACTCATCCACTATCAACATCAATATCAGCATCCACCTGGATCTAGCCCACCTCCGACATCATCAATAGCGCGCTCGCCAACCTCAGAGCAAGTCCAAAGCCCTCCTGCGTCGCCACAAAAGAAAAGGATCTCACCAGAGAAACAGTACAATGAGTTATGGTCGTTGTGAATTGGATTTGGACCTAGAAGTGGAGTGTGACTGTGAACACGAGGACTAGAAGCTATTATTTTTGCATCTACTTTATCCGGTAGTAGATGAGTTACAACTATTTCCCCCGGATGATTACATACAGTCACTGATACTCTCACTTGCGCTTTTGTCGTTGTTAACGAAATAGAAAGCCATGCGAGAGCAGAAGCAGGACCCCGACCCATAATAGAACTTTTTAAAAATAGAAATTAAGTATGATAAGGTGGATTGGTGTTACTCAGCTCTAACCAAAGGCTGGGCCGTGCGACCAACACCGATTGTAGAGCAAGTAGATCCCGGACCGGGCAATGCAGGAGGTGTAGAGCCATCTTCAAGTGGTGTCGGGAGTCCTGACGGTGCACAACAAAACGAACAATGGCCGATAGGCAATGCCGGATCCCTAGTGGAAGGCGGTAGATATTATTTTTTCTATTTATTTCTTGATGGCTCCTTCTTATTTGCAATGTCTTGTACAAGTAGGGCTCAACAGCTCCTCCGACCTTCTTATTTGCAATGTCTTGCACTAGTAGGGCTCAATAGTTTCATTAGGCAGCTAGGTAAATTTCCAAGGTACGATCACTAGTTCCCACATCTAGGTAGCAGCAGTAGCAGCGCTCGAGATCGGAGTTCTTGGGGTCGGAGTTCGTCTTGCTTATTGGAGAACACTGTGGCTGGCCGCTTTCGAGAAGGAGACGCGCAGTTAGTCCGCTTTTACGAACCTCGCAAACAAGAACCTTCTGCCTTGAGTCCAGAGCAACGACAGTTACTGCGAGAGGTGTGTCAGGAACATATCTGGCCAGGGGGAACAGCGGCATCGGGTGATTAAGGACATTTGGTGATGTTGGTGTAGTAGTGCTCCACAAAAGTTCATATCCATATCATTGAGTTCCGTATTTCACAACAAGACTAAGTCCTTGGACGAGGAGACTTCTGGACAATCTCAAAGAAAATTCAGCAAGCTGTCTTTATCCTTAATGAGAAGAAAAAGAGCGTCCTCCTCTGGAAACTACTACCCTGAAAATCAAACCAATACCTTCTCGAAAAGAGCGTCCTCTGGAAACTACTACCCTGAAAATCAAGCCAATACCTTCTCGAACTCCTCAAGAAGAAGAGCCACCTCAATATCTACCACAAGCACAACACCCCCTCTCTAATACATAGTCTTGACAAAGGCTGATGATCTAGTCCCATTTTTGCAGAAATTCCTGAAACTATCAAAGTATTTGGCACAAAGGGTCTGGAGACAGCTGTGCGCTATAGCACCACCAGAATGTCGGACACCACTGTCGTCTCAAGGAGGACTTATGGATGGCTTATTGGGTCGTTTCCGTTCGATGACAACATCTGCATCTCTCTTGAAAATTTTAGCACGAAGAAGAACATCAAGACAACACGACACTCACACAGCAATTTTGCATCTGCAAGACTCCTTCTGCAAGGACCACCGCTACCTCTAAAAATCAATCTCCTCCCACCGCAGCGGAAGATGGCAGAAAGATGGAGGAAGCGGAACAAGAAGCTTTTGTTAAGGCTCAGCTTTCAATGGTCACCATTGAGATTGGGGTCACTGAGGTCCCTCTTGAGAGAACAGGGGAAAATGAAGGAAAAGCAAAGGGAGAGGCATGGGGCCCATTTCTTTCAGAGTCAGTGACCATTGAATGCTGAGCTTTAATTTTGCTTACCAGATACCTCTCGAAGTGTTGGAGGATTACTGTTCCAAGTATTGCGACCCAGACGACCCAGACCTCACCTTCTTCTACATCGCAAAGTCTGAGCGGCACAATTACCTGACGAAGGCGGACTTCAGAGAGCTCATAGACACCGTTCTGGAGGAACATCCGGGCTTGGACTTTCTCAAAGTACTACTGACGGACAACGTTCAACATCATACATGAAGATATTCTTTTTCTTCTTGAACAAACTCGAAGGTGCAAAAAAAACAACATAATCACCTTTTTTTTTAGGGCACTCGCGAGTTCCAGGAGAAGTACGCGGATACCGTGATAGCACGGATATTCTTCACCATAAACTATCGCGACGACGGTCGTATACCGCTGTCCGATTTGAGACGGAGGAAACCGAGTATAGTCGAAACCTGGACCGATCTCGACCATATAGAAGACATGATTATGGCTAAGTCGTGTTGAGCATTGTACTAGTGAACAAACTGAAAGGATGCTGTCGTTAGAAGAAGACGGATGCTACTGGTACCTAGTTGTAGGCCGATGCTCGTACAACTAAGTAGAGGACTTGGAGTAAAAGTGAAAGCTCACATGATCAACAAATACAGATATTCCAAAAAGTCTTCGAGAATGGGAAAAAAGTCCAAAAGTCCGATTACTTTTACTATGTAACAACTACAAGCCAATTAAAATCATCAACTCTAACAGAAAGATGGTCCGGAAATATTTCTCGTACGAGCATTTTTACGTCATCTATTGCACTTTCTGGGAACTGGATAACGATCACGACTGCTTACTGGACAAAGACGACATACTCAAATATGACACGCATGCTTTGTCAAGAAAAGCCGCCGATCGAATCTTCGCTGAGATACCGAGAAAGTAGTTTTGTCTCTAGACTTGCTGTTGATTCATCTGTGTATGACGAGTATGAGATGAGAATGATGATTGAGCTGTTTATTGAGAGTACGATACTCGTGGAAGCTTCTTGTCTACTTGCTTCAATTGATGAGGACTTGGGTACGAAAGATAGTACTCGTCGAAGCTTGTCTACCTGCATCAACTGAGGACATGCACCTTCCTTTGAACTTGTTCTCAAACACCAACCTCTTGCCAGGCATATCAATCAATCAATCAATCAACTTACTACTACATATATATCAATCAGTTTACTACTACTACTACTACTTCAAGGTTCACCTCCGGTCATGAAGGACGAATGTGCTACGAAGATTTCATTTATTTCCTGCTGTGCGACCAGGACAGACTGCAGGACAGGAGTCTGGCTTATTGGTTCACGGTGATGGATCTAGATAGCGATGGTTTCATCCGCCCATGGGAGATGTGGCATTTTTTCGAAGAACAGGCACAGAGTTAAGCATCAAGAGTAGGATGGCTTGATGTAGTACTCGTTCTTGTCGAAAGACTACTAAAACTAGATGGAAACGCCTTTCCTATTTTCAAGCTTTTCAGATGGGAATAAAGTCTGATGAAGAAAGGGAAAGACGATGTTTGTAGAGCAGTGCCACTTTTTCCGCGTCAGCGTAGCTGCACGGTAGATAAAAAAAATTGAAATTCAACATCTAGCTCAAAACCACCTCCACCAACAACAATGCTCCACCTCTAACAAGCGTTAAATTTCCTGCAATACGACACGATACATTTCGAGGATATAGCCTGTCAGGTCTCAGACATGATGCAGGGACGTGTGAAGGAGTTTGTACTGGACAAACAAGGCCACCTAAAACCGGAATTTGAGGACTTAAAACAAAAAACTCCAGCATTCGGAAATGTGCCATTATGAAGCGATGATGACCTGGTAGTGTGAATTATAACAAGAAGGGAACTACGTCGACCACTGACGATGGTTTCTATGTGAATTATAACAAGAAGGGAACTACGTCGACCACTGACTCTTCTTCATCGATCGATCATACAAGAACCGCACCACTCTTCTTGTACACTGATAAGTGAACAGGCCAACGCCTAAACGAAAAAGCCAACTGCGCCGCTGGTGGCTTAGGCGTTGGCCTGTTCACTTATCAATCTTCTCAGTCTAGGATCATCATCGGCCTGTTCTAACAGTCGGCTCCTCCACCTCTCCCACAACTTTCGGCACCATCCAAAAAAGCAACGAGGCGTATTGGGGCAGTGCGTATTCATTGGGGGATTTTCTCAGGTCAAAGAAGGCTGCAAGCGCGTTTTTTTCGACTTTTATAAGTTTGCAGAAGTTCTTAGCGTGGGAACACAGGGATCCTTTCCAAATGCACCAAGCTACCACAGATACGCCCCATTTGTCGGACTGGGACAGGTATATTTGAATTGGTTTTCTACTATAATGAAGGTGTGGTAGAAGAATGTGTTCATCTGTTTGATGGTGGTGATGGTGTCGTGAAGTAGATACCCCGTCCCCGTTGATACATTATGTATTTTCTGCGAGGACGAGGATGATGATGCTGTTCTGCGTTCTGTTTGATAGTGTCCTCAAGTTCTCCCGTTCATACTACAGATAATGTTGTTCTTTATCTGTATCGCATTCGGTGAAAAGATGTTCTTGAACACACCAAATAAGGTGGTGCCAGCACGAGTACGGAAGACTTGCAGTCGACGAAGCAGAGGAAGGAGAGGAGCATTACGAGGCAAACGAGTATTAAGGCGTATACTTCTGTAACTGTATGTATACTTAATCCGCACCGCGCTGTAAATTCCTACTTTTTACCATGACTGAGTTCACCTCTGTGTAAGTTTTGCTTCGTAAACGGCCAGTAAAAGCCGACCCTGAAGTATGTGACCATGACCACCTTCTCCTGAAGATGCTGGAGGTTGTCGAGAACGAGAAAGAGAATGACCTTCTAAGTGGGGTTTGCCACTAGCTGAACGCTTGTTGACTATAAGTATGTTACTTAGGAGCTAGTTCTCTACCTCTAGAACGTCTATGTAATACAGTTCTTCCGTAGGTGATCGAGTAAGGATCGCAACACGGAACGGACGCATGGCGTGACCTTCTAAGTACTTAGAAAATGATTCATGACAGGAAAGAATATCGAACTACATTCATGACAGGATATCATTAGAAAATGATTCATGACAGGATTTCATTTACAACAAATAAGCAGACGTACTAGATGAGCTCCTCTAATAACACGTAGTGGACGAAAGTGCTGGCATCGCAAGTGTTGAGCAAGAAGCCGTTGCTGACGGAAATGGGGATGGTGCTGAAGGAGGTGGCGGTCTCTCTTCTGGTGGGGGAGGAGAAGACGGTGGATCGATAACGTGATGTTAGAAAAAAAGAACGCAGCACTTCACTTCTGCATGTACTTTCGCATCTAGTTGTACATCATCTACTTCTAGAAGAAATTAAAGAGCATAAGGAGCGTTGCAGTAGACTGAATTCAGACTCCGACTCAGAAATTAAAACTTATACTACTTGACGTTGAATCTTCAAGTCCGGGATCAGGCTTGTGATCCAATGAGTACTTCGACTTCTTAGCATGATAATTTGAATTTCTCTGTCCTTTTTTTGTACATTTTCCTAGTTAATAGCAGGGCTCGTCCACTACAAGTACAAATTAAGAGTTGTACTACGAACTTACGCATTCGCATACGAACACTCACAACCCCGTGGCCGAGGTAGCCACCTTTTTGCCCATTTACTGCATCCAAATAAGGAGTAGGAGTTTATGATTCACACCAGCCTTTAGTTCATCCGGAAAAGAAGTTCTTTCTGCTTTTTTTTCGAAACTTTGTCCAATGTTGATTGACATGGAACAGACTTTTTTTCGTAAGTAGCACAACGGCATCAAGCAATATGTCAACCTGCTGAAAAACAGCGCGAAAAGCAAGCAAAAACGGCCATTTTCAGCGAAATAGGTGGTTGTGGTATAGATGATGTTCCAGCATGTCAACAGTAGGGATCTTCTCACGAGAACCAAAGTGCAAAAGACGCTACGATCCGATCGTTGATGTTGAAGAATGAGATGAAAAGATCATGATGTTGAGTGCCTGTAACGACGACGAGATCATGCACAGCCATCGCTTACTAGCATAATGATAATCTAATTGCCTACATCTTGATCTTCTTCTTCGCATAAACCTGCTAAGTTGTCGTGTATATCAATAAATTGTCAAGATTTTTCATGAGCTGCAGCTACGAGCTAAACAAGACAACAAAATGTACTACAACAATCTTACCTCTACAACATCAAAATCTACTTCCTCTACGTCTCGACCAAGTGGCTCCCGCAACCGACCCTTGGCACTACGCGCACCTGCAGTTGGTGCTCAGGGTGAAGTAGAGTTAAGGAGAAACTTCAATGATTATCATTGTTCTTTTTGGTCAAACAAATTTTTGAATTTTTTTTTCTTCTAATTGACGACCACTACCACGAGCACGAGCTTGGTCATTTTCTTCTAATTTCCGAGCACCACGATCATCAGTCATTATCATTGTTCTTTTTGGTAGTCATTATCATTGTTCTACTTTTTGGTCATGGTCTACGAGGACGTCTACTTGGTTTCCATAAGATAAGTCTAAAAAGTTTTTGGTAGGTCTCACTTCACCAGAAAAAAATTTGAATTTTTTTCTTCGAATTTCCGACCACTACCAGGAGCAGGAGCTACGACCGCAGAGAGCGAACATCACGAGCAAAACGAGTACCAGTAGACCTCGTTCGCGATCAATATCGCATGGGGCGCCCTCTCGAAGTTGTAGCAAGAAAGCTGCACCAGACCTCTCTGCTAGACCAGCCTGGAACTCGGATTTTGCGACTAGTAATTCTGAAGATCATATTGTTGCTACAACTGGAGATGGACATGATTGTATTTACGAACAAGTAGATCAACATAACAAGCAGACCTCCATTAAGGCTACCGCTGAAGCATCCTCAGCACCATCCCTGGCGTCTTTTTCAAGGGGAAAAGAGACACCAAATTTATGGGCTCAGGGATGCGACGCGGTAGCTCTAACTCCACAACGACTAGTAGGCCTTTTGTAGTAACACACCGTAGTGCGACGAATAGCACAACTGCAAGCGAACCGCATGATGCAACCTCTAGGTTTTCTTCCTCTCAAACACATCAAGGAGCTCAACAAGTACAACAACTAGAGGAGATTCAAAACGCAAACATTGATCAACATGTTCAGCGTCTTCGCAAAGAAAATGCTTTTCTTAGGAAGCGCGTGAAAGATCTCGAACGGGAATGCGAGGCTTCGACTTCTCCTCGTAAGTTGTTTGAATTTTTGGTACAAGAAACTCGAAACTTAGAATCGCAGGATGAAAGGCGGACTGTGCTTTTAAAGGCGCAGATCCTCGCATTGGAGAAACAACTGGCCCTGGTATCCACATCTAGTTCGAGTTCCTCCATTCCTTCTACTTCTTTGATTCTGGACAAACAGCGACTATGGGATTTAGAACAAGAGATGCGCTCTTTCGCAAGGGCAATGTTGGAACAAGTACTAGACATAGGGGCTTTTGTTCCAGTAGCTGCGGGGGACGTCGACGATCACAATGGGAATCAGCATGAAGATTTTGCAAGATCGGCTAGTGGTGGGTGCAAGGGCAAAGTAGGAACGCGAGAGAGAGTTACAACTAGAACTTCATCGAAACGACGAGCTGAAGAACAGTCTACAACAGGGTGGAATTTCGATACTGCTGTCAGTTACGATGAAGAGCAGGAGGAGGACTATGGAAGCGAGGATGTAGACAGAGTCTCTTCACTACAGACTAGACTAACAGCACACGAGCAGGACTCGTCCAAGGCCATGGTTACGCGTGGTGGTGTTGCTAAGTCTAGGAGTGGTCTGGGTCTCTCCAAGAATGCTAATGCCCATACCAAAACCCTACATCAGAGGTGGACGGATCAAGAGTATCAACTACAAGCGGTAGGATCAGGATCAGCTTCGTCTCCTCGCCGTTTTGTTCTGAGCAAGGAGAGTGTGCTAAGACTAAGCGAGCGACTTTTTCATATTGGGGTGGCTCTCGACTTCTCATGTGCTAGTAGTATAACCAACAAGAGCAATAATCACAGAGATGAACACGACGATGCATGTAACATCTCCGCAAGAGAGCGTCGCGCTATCGAAAGACAAATTCAAAGGAAGTTGCAACAGCTCAAAGCCAATGCTCTTGAAATGAAAGGTGCTCATTCATTATGAAGCGAAAAAGTGTACTCATCCTCAAGAAAGTAGGCACTTTTTAAGAAGTAGGAAGAAGCCTCTTTTCTTGCGTATGAGTACACTTTTTCGTGTCATATTCATCTGGGTCCTTGCAGTTACAACCACAAGAGTCTTCACATCATCAACGAAAAGCAGGCTCGACGTCTACTACAACTACTTTTGAGATAGAAGTTCCAAGTGCACTACTTGGAAGTTGGCGAGCACTGTTGAGTGACCGCGTTGAGAAAAGGACAACAAGGGACGCCCTAGAAGTTGCGGTGAGTCAAATGCTCACACTTGCAGGTCAATGGAGACTATATTTAGCAATACTCGCATCTTAGTAGTGTTAAATTCAAGGCAAGGGCAACTAGTACTAGTTTTCATCTTAGTCACAAGTTTATCAAGAATTCGTCAGGGAAATCTTAGGCAGATAGCCGAGTAGATTCGTATCATCACATCAAGGTATTACCAAACATAACAGTTGTAATACTTCTAGCTTGGAGCGTCCGATAACATCCCTCCCACTAGGATCCCCCTCGTCCCCAAAGTAAGAAACTAAGCAAGGCAAAGATGTAGGCGATACGCGTTTTCAAATTTCGAAAATTTTCCACGTTTTGCCATCGTTTGGGGATTGGGTCCCGTGCGTTTGAAGTCAAGGGCTAAGATCCCAAAACTTTTTGACCTTCAGCCCTTTCTTTCGCTGAAATTTAATGCCTTGGCTTCGCGTTTTTCAAATTTCGAAAATTCTCCACGTTTTGCCGTCGTTTTGGGATTGAATTTTGTGCGTTTGAAGCGCTAAAGCCCCTAAGCTTTTGACTCTCAGCCCTTTCCCTGAGGTTCAGTCTCTTGGATTCGTGTTTTTCAAATTTCGAAAATTTTCCACGTTTTGCCGTCGTTTTGGGATTGAATTCTGTGCGTTTGAAGTGCTAAGACCCCAAAGCTTTTGACTTTAAGCCCTTTCCCTGAGATTCAATCTCTTGGCTTCGCGGTTTTCCAATTTCGATAATTTTCCACGTTTTTCGTCGTTTCGCAAGTGAATCCCGTGAGTTTGAAGCGCTAAGACCCCAAAGCTTTTGACTTTAAGCCCTTTCCCCCGAAATTCAATGCCTTGGCTTCGCGTTTTTCCAATTTCGGAAATTTTCCACATTTTGGCGCCGTTTTGAGATTGAGCCTCGTGAGTTTGAAGCGTTAAGATCCCAAAATTTTTGATTTTAAGCTCTTTCCCTGGGGTTCAATCTCTTGGCGTCGCGTTTTTCAAATTTCGAAAGTTTTCCCCCTTTTTCCTCATTTTGCGAGTGAGTCCTTTGATTTTGAAGGGCTAAGATCCTAATGCTTTTGACTTTAAGCCCTTTCTCTGCAATTTAATTCCTTGGGTTCGCGTTTTTCAAATTTCGAAAACTTTCCGCGTTTTGTCGTCGTTTTGAGATTGAGTCTCGTGAGTTTGAAGCGTTAAGATCCTAAAACTTTTGACTTTAAGCCCTTTCCCCCGAAATTCAATTCCATTGCTTCATGGTTTCCTGGTTTCCTGGTTTCTTGGTTTCCTGGTTTCCTGGTTTCCTGGTTTCCTGGTTTCCTGG